TCTCGGGTTGACCCAAACTACTAACGTAGGATTTGGGGTATTATAGACAGAAGATCCCCCTGCCTCACCCCTCTCACCTTTAAAGAACCCACAAGACTGCCATTAAACGAGATAGAAACTGAACACCCTTGAAACACCACCAATCAACCCCTAAAAATCCCAGGCAATCTCATAGCCTCAAGAACATTCAACACAAAATACCAAGTCAAAGAATCAAACGCCTTCTGAAGATCCACCTTAAAAAACATACCTAAGCGAAAGAGATCTTCGAGCATATCCTCTAACAATCTCCTGAGCCATCAGTATATTATCCATACTTCATCCTTGAAAAAAATGCAGCTTGATTCAAGGCTATCATGGCAGGGAAGTAAGCAGACAATCTCATCACCAAAATCTTGGAAATAGTCTTATACACCATCGAACAACAGGAAATAGGCCTAAAATCCTTGACCCTTTATGGATTAGGAATCTTAGGCAGCACGACCACCGCAATAACATTAAACCATGACAACATAAGAGAACCTTCAAAATAAGCACAAATAGTAGCCTTGTAATCGTCCCCAACAATAGACCAAGCAGACTTAAAGAAAGACGCTGTAAATCATCCAGTCCAAGAGTTTTTTCATCCCCTAACTAAAAACCACTTCCTAATTTCCTCATCAGTAACATTCCTAGTAAGAACCTCAACATCACCCTCAGGCAATGAGTAACCCAGCAAGCCCCTCAAGGTTTCCACATCGCAACCCCGTACACCATCATCTCTAGTACGTAACAACCGAGAAAAAAGTCACAGTCTCTCTAGACATATTCTCAAAAGTATCAAGCTTTACTTTTTGATCATCTAAGAGCATACAAATTGTATTTTTCTTCATTTTCATTGCCATCACATAATGAACACATTTTGGGTAACGGTCCCCATCATTAAGCCAATTAACCTTGGTTTTTTGTCTATGGAAAGACAACTGAGCTTTTTCCAAAGCAACCAGATCACCTTGAACACGTTGCTCCTGCTCCAAATCACTCCCATCACGTCCAAAAGTAAGATTCGCATTTGAACTCCCTCCAAATCCTGTTGAAGCAACTTAACTCTTGAAGAAGTATCACAGAAATAATTATGAATGACCTCCTTCAAAAACAACTTTAAACCGCTTCAATTTCTGAAAAAGAACAACCATAGGCTCACCATGAATAGGCATCCCCCACGACTCAAAAACCACCTCCAAGAACTTAGGATGCTCAATCCAGAAATTAAAAACTTAAATAATTTTTTATGATTAACCGAATTCGGATTTGACAACCAGATAACCCCAAGCAATGATCATAATCCCTCGAGGCTTAAAACTCCATAAAATAATCTTTATAAACATCAAGCCAATTAGGATTAACCAAAATCCTGTCAATTTTTCGAGCCAAAAATCTCTCATCCTGCCTATTTGATCAGGTATAAAGAGGTCCTAAAAATATATTATCAATTATCTTCAGCCCCTCAATACACTCACCAAACCCTCATATCAGTAAACACCAACCTAAAACCTCAAACCATCTCTGATCATTCATCCACACAAGTAAAAATATTAAAATCTCCCCTATAACCCAAGGAGAAGAACCTACCACACCCTCCAATCCTTTAAATTTTTCCAAAGTATTATCCTACCAATAACATCATTAAGGCCATAAGCAACAGAAATAACCATAAGGGAACCAACCACAATACCCCTGATAGAAATCAACTGATCAGAAACTTACAACACATGAAAGACCCAATTCTTCTCCCAAAAGACCTAAATCCTACCATACGACCCAGGAATATAATTAGAACAAAAAGACAGTCCTTAAACTTGCTATTCACTATACCAGCAACCTTATCTTGCCTCATCCAAGTCTCCAACAAACATACCACCTCAACCCCAAATAATTCAATCGAACTAGGGATCACAGCCCCAAAATCAACCTCAACACATACACGAGCAAACTCTAATCATTACCTAAACATAGTAGAGAGTCCATGTGCAACGGAATACCCACTGCACTAGTAATATAACTTAGCCCTTTTTCTTGAGAATAACTCAGAGGACATGAACAATTAATCCAAACAGTATAACAAAGTATACTAAATCAAGTTTCTTCAAATTAGGTTCCCAACGCTAAGAATCATATTTTATTCTGTATATGCCAAGGACCTCCCTCTAAAACCTAGTCCCAGACAGTCGTATTTACAAAAGAGAAAATGTAGATATTAGGACCACAAGACTAACCTTCACTGGAGAGTTTTTACCCTAAAGTAATCCACAATCTTCTGCATCGCACTGAAATTTGGAGCATTCCCAATGAATTGCCCAACCAAGAGTAACGTCATTCAACAATCCCCTCATAAAAAATAGCTTGAGGCGGCCTGACTGAAATCGAACCCTCCACCTTCATAGAGGAAAAACTCTAAAGACTGCTCCTGCCAACGCAAAGAGCTTCCTCCAGTCTAAAGTAGCAACCCCCAGCCCCCCAAACATCGATCCGTCACAACAAAAGAAAAGTACAAAAGCAACTTTAAAAGAAGAAAAGCAAAAAAAGAACGCCATCTTTTTTTTTCTATGTATAGCATATGCATATATATATATATATTTATATATATATATATATATATATATATATATATATATCTATATATATATATATATATATAGATATATATATATATATAAATAAATTATTATTGAGAAATGTGTGGTATATACCTAATTTAGCTATTTAGTCAAAAGAATACATGAAAAAACCTATAGTTTATATTCATATCTATCTAGGGATGGCATGGGTCGGGATTTTGGTCCACCCGACCCGACCCAAGAACAATGAGTCCTCCACCCGAGACCCGACCCAACCAAAACAAGTTTTCACCCGACCCAAACCTGACCTGATATATAACTTAAAAACCCTACCCGAATCGACCTAAAATAATAATAAAAAATTATTTTTATTCAATAAAAATGACTTAATTAAAAAAATAATATATAAAGGGGTATTATTGTAATTATTCCTAAATATATAAGGTAAAAGTATATATATTTTTCGGGTTGGGTATTTTCACCCTAAACCCGAACCCGACCCGACATCACATTAAAAAAAACCTAACCCAAACCTGAATTTTTTTTAAAAAATCCAACCTGATATGATCTGGTCGGGTCAGAACCCATCGGGTTTGAGTCCCATGCCCATCCCTATATCTATCCCTATCTCTGAATAATAAATATACATAAGGTTAAATATTTAGTCTTAATAAATTTATGTATCAAATTTTATGTGATTCGTGTGAAAAGGACTTTTAATATATTTAGTTGTGTAATTAAAAGGTTTGATAAACCGAATCAAAATGACCAATGGAATTATGGGTGGAGACCCAATCAATATTTAGGATAGACTATATGACCAAAAATTGTTTGGGTCAAAGTTTCTAAGCCGAACTTTTCTAGAAAACGTGCAGAGTGTCGACCCATAATCTGGTTTCAAGCACCGCCGAATTATGTGACCCTAACTTCCGTGTGCATTTCATTTTTTTCTGATTGATAATGATTATATATTAATAACAATATGAACCCAAATCTCACCTCTTATAATAAAATGTATATTCTTCTATTGATAAATATACTATAATAATAGGGAATATTACTTTTTTCATATATCATTATTCTTTATCATTCTTTTATAATAATAATAATAATATATTTTAAGTGTAATATAATATGGTTTACTGTTAATTTACTTGAGTAAGTTACATTGCCGTTATTATAATCAAATAGATTTTAATTATGAGAGGATGAGAATGTTTTAATTAAATTCTCCAATATTATTTTCACATTTTAATTGCAGTTAGCTATATACGTAGGAGTTGGTATCTAAGTACCCTATGATTTGCATAAACCTTACCTCTAATCCTTCGCGTAAGGGAACAGAAAAGCAATGTAAAATGCTTTTAAAGGAAGAGATAATAATTCAATTAATTATATGGTGCATGACCCATTTGCACCGTGTAAAACTCTTTGCATATAAAAACTCGAACTTGAGACATGTTTTATGATATCAAGTTACTCACCACTTGAACTAATCTCGTTGCTTAATTTATGATGCTTTTTTAAAAATTAACAAGTGTTCACTTTATTTTTTTTTTCATTTTTAAAACATTGATTAATGAGACGAGGTAGGCTTGTGAAGTATAAAAAAATCTACTACCATTAATAAATATTGATAAAGAACTTGACCAAAGTTGTTAAATAACTACCCTTAATCTATGAGTACCCTTAATCGATGAGTAATTAAAATTAAACGCTTTGTAGCTTTGACTACTTCAATTCTAGGAGTATCATTTTATATGGTTAAAACAAATCTTGAACTATGTGCAACAGATGAAGGGTGATTTAGGGTGGTTGAATAGATTATAGAGAAAGAATATTAACGATCATTTAAGATTCATTCATTTTAATTTGAACGAAGAATTATCAATGATCAACTTGAATCCTCTATTCATGTCCTTATAGATATATATAAAAATGAGATTATACGAGAGATAGAGAGAAATGACCCTTACGAAGAGAGAAGATCATTTATATATCTTTTATCTTGCGTGTCATGTATTGAGGTGTGGTATGAGGGAGTTGATCCCTTCTAGATGGTATTATTCGAGTCATAATAGATTTATTTTATTAGTTTACAGTCCTTTAATGATGGAATTATTTGTTTGTTTTAAGTTGTGTTTCTATTAATTGTCACTCTAATAGATAAAACCTCCCGATGTTAGAATAATTATAGCCTGAGTGTTCTAGTTCCGAAGACTATCGCTCCGGAATAGTGTCTTCAAGGAGGAGGATATGACAAAACCTACCTTGCATGTGAAGAAACTACAGTTGATGCACTTCTCACCTTAATTTTCTTGCATTTTTGCTAAATGTTAATCTACTTTATAAAGAGAGATTAAAGAAATACATAAAATCATGATCAAATCAACGATTATGGAATTGGCAAAAACTTGAAGGAAAATAAGGGTTTTAAACAAGCATTATAGGGAAACGAAATGCATGCAAAAGTTCAAAAACAAAAACAAAAGATCATTTAAAAACAATACTCTATTCCCTTGAATAGTAATAATCATAATCCCTCCTGTTCCCTGGATGATCTGAAGCTGGCGACGAACTACCGAACTGCAATGAAAATCCACCCAAATTCTCTTGTTCTTGTTGTTGTTGATGATGTTGTTGAAATGCTAACGTTGCGGGAGATGAAGATGAAGACTGAGAAGTAAAGCTGGCGGCAGGATCCATAGGCAGCACTTGGCATAGCATAGTTGAAAGGAGTGGTTGAGCCACCACCGAGGAGCTGCGCATACTGGGAAATATTGGGATACGTTGGTTGAGAAAGCGGTGGTTGAGGTGGTGGTGGTGCCACCACCGTCCGTGCAATTTCTTGACGACTTGAGAAATAACCGGATTCGGATCTTCCTTGAACTCTTTCCGGGAAGTTAAGCTTCGCTTTGCTTCCTTTAAACCTAAGTGCAGCTTCATCGTAGGCCAAGGCCGCTGCTTCAGCTGTTTCGAACGTTCCCAGCCAAACCCGAGCCGCCTTTTCGGGTCACGAATCTCTGCGGCCCATTTCCCCCATGGCCTTTGCCGTACTCCTCTATAGTGTATTCTCCGGGCATTCCCTTTCAATAACCAAAAAAATCTTAAACAATCAACATCATATTCAGACTTATCTAATTTGGGTTTGACGTGTTATGTTTTTTTGGTGTTTTGTAATGAAAAAGAATAACCAAAACAAGAATCAAAGAATAACTTCAAACTCAAGCTTTTAAATGGGAAAAAAACCGTAGATACGTGCCGAGTTAGAACATGAATAACGGCTGTAATCTGAACCAGGCCGCAAAGGAAGAAAAATAAGTGAATCCATATACTCTTTTAAAGATTATCATCTTTTTTTTTATGGATTTTTTTTGAAGCAAATACAACTATTAGGGCTTATGAATATTGTTGAATAACAAAGATCCAAAAATGGTAAAACAAAAATTATATACACATAAAATGAAGACATACCTTGAGCTTGAGCTTTAGCTTTAGCTTGTTGATGATGAGGTTGGTCTTGTTGAGCAGTTGGGTTGGGATCCTGATCATCATGAGGTTGAACGAGTGGATTATTGTTATGTTTCCAATAACTTGAGTTAGGGCTTGAACCACAGCATTCATGTCTTGTTGTGACCTAGCTGAGTAGACCGGAAATATATGATCGACATCGGCACCGACACCACCGGCTTCTTCTTCTCTCGCTTCCGGATCATGACCGGAATACTGAAATGGTCGCTTCCCTGCTGCCGATCCATTTTGCCTTTGGAAGTTCCCCTTTTATGACCTTTTCTATGTATCATACAAAACCAACAAACCAAGCAACGTGTATATACATATATAGTTTTCTCAGGTTAACCATGGAAATTAATAAGAAAGAATTATAATATTGGAAGTGAAATCAAGTAGAAAAGGAAAGGGAAAAGAAGAGTGGAGAAAAAGGGGATTTCGTGGTGTATATGTGGATTTTTACATGCCCTAATTAAAAGACAATGTGAACAAGAGATGAAGATAGCTGAAAATGCTGAAACCTAATGCCCTATCAAGTTTATTTATAGACCTTTTCTTCTTCTCTCTTTATTTTTTCTTTCTTTCTTTTTATAATATATAATTCAAAACTATTACTACATTATCTATTTTAAAGTTTATTTTAATAAAATATTTTTAAGTGCGAAAATACTGACATTTGATGAAGTTTATGTTTGACATACTCGAAAAAGAAAAATGTTGTCTCTATATATAATGTTGTCTCTATATATAATGTTGTCTCTATATATAGAGGGATAATATATACTTACACTCATAATAAAATTTTTAATGTTACATTTTTTTAGGATCATTGGATTGAAAAAAATCAGAGGTTTGGATTAACTCTTTGTTTTTTTCAGTAAACGTTTTCTCAATTTCTATTGTTAATCTTATTCTCTCATCCATGAACCTAAAAATGTATAAAACTACAAGAGTTTTACACAATGTAATTCAATCATACCAAATATATATTACAAATGGCCCCTTGTTTGTAACCTTTAGCAGTGGGATTTTTGTTTTCAATAATGTAAAATTACATTAGGGTAAAGTATAGTAATGGTCACTGAACTTTTCTAAAGCTTTCATTTAGGTCCCTCAACTTTTAAAACTTCCAATACAATCCCCCAACATTTAGTCTATTGCAATACAGTCCCCCAACATTTAGTCCGTTTGTAATATGGTTCCCGACGTAACCGACCGTTTGATGTCGTTACACTGTTGTTAGTACGTTTGCAATATGGTCACTAAACTTTTCAGGCGCTTGCATTTAGGTCCCCTAACTTTTAAAACTTGCAACACAATCCTCAATTTCATTCTAAACCCCAAATTCCTTTTCGATCTTGAATTTCTTTTTTTGCTTCTCTCTTCTCATTTCCAGCGTAACTTTTCAGTCGGTGATGCATGGGAAATTCTAATCTAACTTTGAATTATGTGGAGGTGTTGACTTGAATAAGGGTCCATTGAGAGAAGACCCGACCAAGGGACTATCGGGACCATCAATGATTCAACGTGTAATGTTAGATACATGTCATTTCAGGTGAAGCATAGATGTTCGATGAAATGCTTGTGAGAAAAAAATGGGGTTAGAAATGCAGAGTTGACAAATACTACTAAGATGAACTAAGACAAATACTACTAAGATGAACTAAGTATCATGTTGAAAGTCACCAACAAAGCTGGAATTATTTTGTATAAATGGAATATATAATTTCTTCGTTTAATCCTTGTGGTTAAAGATTTCCAACAGATGATTAAAAATATTGAAATCCCAAACAACACATTCACCTCTCAGTCTCTTTCGCTCACATGCACTCTCGTTTGGTTTTTGTTCTTCAATTTTCCGCCATATAAAATTGTAAACCCAAGCAGTGCTCTGTCTTTTTTTTATTTACAAATAAAAAATGGAGGAAGAATTTCTGGAATGCAACACTGATTGCATTTATTTCTTAGCCTCTCCCCTCACTTGCAAGAAGGTATTTATTTTCTCTTTTGGGCTATCTGGAAGTGAGCTTTTCCTCTTTCGCACTTTCCCATTTTCAGCTCGCATTGTGTGTTTTTTGTTGAAATTTTTATGTTTCTGGAACTGCATGTCAATGATCTGGATATTCAGTGTTAGTTTTGAACCAAAACCATCTAATTTTATTTCTTTATTCTTAATCAAAACTTTTAGTACTCCTTATGAAAGATATTCAGTCCATCAGAATAGAAGTGAAATAGAGTCCTAAGCTAATTTTTTTATCTTCTTGTTTGATTTTTCTTTAAATCAGGGAATTGGTTGTGATTATCGACATAGTGAAATCGCCATGCTCAATCCGAGAGACTGCTGATACTAGTTTACTGGGAATTGTATTGACCCGACATGTGGTTTTTGGCATCCTGTGAGCTCGTTTTCTTTTTAATAAGTTCATGTTGATTATGGGACTAATATATCATGAACAAATTAGATTTTTTTACATGTTTTGGAAATTTTACAGTTGAATTGTATTGAATTATAGCTTTAGAAGATAATTCTGCATGCACGCAACTCGAAAGACATCATGATAGGGTAGTATATTTGGAGCAGCTACTTGACCATGTCATGATGCCTTTCGAGTTGCGAAAGAAACTGAGAGGTGAATGCGCTGTTGGGATTTTATTATTTGATGAAGAAATTATTATATGTCATTATACAAAAATAATTACAGCTTTGTTGGTGACTTCCAACAATGATACTTAGTTCATCTTAGTACTATTTGTCAACTATGTATTTCTAACCCCATTTTTTTCTCACAAGCATTTTATCGAACATCTATGTTTCACCTGAGATGACATGTATCTAACATTACACCTTGAATCGTTGATGGTCCTGATAGTCCTTTGCTCGGGTCTTCTCTCAATGGACCTTTATTCAAGTCAACACCTCCACATAATTCAAAGTTATATTAGAATTTTCAATGCATCCCCGACTGAAAGTTACGCTGGAAATGAGAAGAGAGAAGCGAAAAAGAAAACTTGAGATCGAAAAGGAATTTGGGGTTTAGAATGAAATTGAGAACTGTGTTTTAAGTTTTAAAAGTTGGGGGACCTAAATACAAGCACCTGAAAAGTTCAGTGACCATATTGTAAACGTACTAACGACAGTGTAACGACGTCAAACGGTTGGTTACATCGGGGACCATATTGCAAACGGACTAAATGTTGGGGACTGTATTGCAAACGAACTAAATGTTAGGGATTTTATTGCAAGTTTTAAAAGTTGGGGGACCTAAATGAAAGCTTAGAAAAGTTCAGTGACCATACTATACTTTACCCATTAAATAATACTTTATAGAGAGGTGTCGCTCGAGGATAAGGGAACATGTTATGTTGTTGAGATTTGAAATCCATACGTCTAATTTAATTAATTTAGTTTTAATTTGATTAGTATTATTATTATTAGGGTAAATTACATCTCACGGAACTCTATTTTTTTCTCTTATTTTACTTATCGTACTTTAAATTTTTCTCTTTTACTCACTGAATTTTACATATTGAATCATTTTGCTCACTTTGTCGTTATCTCACTAACATTGTGATGATGTGTCATTTTTTATTATTATTTAATAAAAAATAATTGAAAAATAAAGAGTAAATTACCTCGCTTATCACTAAACTTTACACTCTCTCCTATTTTGCTCACTATAAAGAAAAACATAAGGTGGTTAGATGCCACCACCGGCCACCGTAGACCATCGTTGATGGTGGGTGTTCAGTCCCAAATTTCATGTGTCATTTCATCTAGACACCTAGAGTCTGAATCCGACTTCCATTTTGTTAGAACTTACTCCGAAGTCCACGTATAGGGGATTGAAAATGAGGAAATCGAAAGGTTTCAGTTGAGATTCACGGATTTTGGGATATTTTCCAATGAAACAACCACTAGATTCAGACTCAGGGGTCGAGACGAATCGACCCATGAATTTTGGGACCGAACGGCCACCATCAATGACATCGACGATAGCCGGAATGAAAAATGACATGGTGGTCGGCAGTGGCAATGGGGGAAGAAGAGGACTCGAAACGACGTCATTTTTGTGTATATTTGAGTTTTTCAAAACGACGTCATTTTTATGCTTGTTCCATGTCATGACACCGTTAAAAAGTTAACTGCAAAGTGAGTAAAATGTTGTAAAGTTCAATGAGCAATATATATATATACATACGCACGATGAGTTAAATTTTGTTAGTCTCAAATTCCATACAAAAATTTAAATTTTATCTGATTTCAATTTAACTCGATATTTGACTAGTTTTTATTTGACTCAAATTTTAGATAAAAACATGTTTGACTCAACTTGATTCAACACAAATATTTTTGAACCACTCTCTCCTAAACTTTACACTCTCTCCTATTTTGCTCACTATAAAGAAAAACATAAGGTGGTTAGATGCCACCACCGGCCACCGTAGACCATCGTTGATGGTGGGTGTTCAGTCCCAAATTTCATGGGTCATTTCATCTAGACACCTAGAGTCTGAATCCGACTTCCATTTTGTTAGAACTTACTCCGAAGTCTACGTATAGGGGATTGAAAATGAGGAAATCGAAAGGTTTCAGTTGAGATTCACGGATTTTGGGATATTTTCCAATGAAACAACCACTAGATTCAGACTCAGGGGTCGAGACGAATCGACCCATGAATTTTGGGACCGAACGGCCACCATCAATGACATCGACGATAGCCGGAATGAAAAATGACATGGTGGTCGGCAGTGGCAATGGGGGAAGAAGAGGACTCGAAACGACGTCATTTTTGTGTATATTTGAGTTTTTCAAAACGACGTCATTTTTATGCTTGTTCCATGTCATGACACCGTTAAAAAGTTAACTGCAAAGTGAGTAAAATGTTGTAAAGTTCAATGAGCAATATATATATATACATACGCACGATGAGTTAAATTTTGTTAGTCTCAAATTCCATACAAAAATTTAAATTTTATCTGATTTCAATTTAACTCGATATTTGACTAGTTTTTATTTGACTCAAATTTTAGATAAAAACATGTTTGACTCAACTTGATTCAACACAAATATTTTTTTTCAATTTATTCGATAATAATTATCTCTAAATATATAAGAGGAACTATACCATTATCTTGAGTTAGATCGATAATTTTTCACCGTAAACTTAACTCCAACTTAATTTTACCCTTCATAAAATTTGATATGAACCCTTAGGGAGAGAAAAATCGATAATATAAAATTAAACTAAAACTAGTTAAATTCGAATAATTATAATATATTAGATGTTACTTAAATGAAATGCTTAATTAAAGTGGTTCGTATAATTTAAGTATTTAAAAGTTAATAATTATAGGGTTAAATATAGAAGGCAGGGCCAGCCGAGCCTATGTATAGCAAGATCAATGAAAGTAATTAGATAAGCCTGCTAGTGCTTTCGGTTTACACCTGAAAATGACTTGAGCAATAAATCCTTCCGAATAGACTTGTAAAATTCATTTACGCCAACTGTTTTTTTTTTATATGGAACAGGTCTCGTTAAAATTCCTTTATAAATTGACTGTCAACACTAAATAAAGACAGCGGGAAGAAAAAAGAGTCAAAATTATTGATATTGATCCAGCTAAAGTACAAGTTCAAAACTATTAGGATTTGCAGGCATCACCAAATGAACGCCCTAAAGACAATGGCCGACTAATATGACCTACTTTTGCTCAATCCTAGAGACATTTGGATCCACAGGTTGGACATGGCTCAGAATCATCTCATGCCTTCCTGCTGAACCCTATCAGCTCAACCTACTAAAAGAGCTCAAAGACCTGAGAATGTGAATGAACACTTCGGAAAACGGTAGCCCTGACTGATTTTCAACAGCTTGAAATCGAAGCAGCAATGGCTGCATGACAATGTCAAAGCATGAAAATGTTCCATTATTGTTGAGTTATTGATTGAAGCTGAAGAAAGAATTATTGGTCTCATGCAAAGAAGTAAAACAGTGGCTGTAGATCATGAACCTCACCTGAAACAGCAATGTGTATAAGAATTATGTATCTGCTGATCATCCCGATATCGTATGTTATCGGAACTTCAGATGTGGGTATGTAAAACAAACTATAAATCTGAAACTTTTTTTAAGTTAAGATTGAATATACCCATGTTGAACTCATACCTAAATCCAACACTAACACCCAAATCCAAGGAACATAAATAAGGTAAATTGGACATAGAGATCTAAGAATTTCTATACAAGTAAATTAAGACTTGAATATGATGGAAATTGATATATAGGGCTTAAATCTTAGACCTCAAATAACATGATTTATATCTCTTATGATTTATATCTCCTTTTGAACATACACCAAAAACATAGCCCAAAGGCACTGAAACATGAAGAGTAAAAATGACACACCACCTAGTGATTGCAATAGGTCCAGAGCACAAAAAATGCGGTATTTGAATAGAGAAGATATCTTATGTTCATCCTAATCATATACTCCCCCTTTTAACCTGATGTTCCCATACTACTCTCTACATTTAGCTTATACCATTTCAGAGGCACGAACAACCAAGCACTTCCATGAAATTCAGCATTCGAGACAAAAATGACGCTGCACACCTGAAAACATGAAGGCTGAGTTGTTGAGGCTTGGTTAGTAGCAAATCCAATACAACAGTGACAATTTAGCTGTAGAAACCTAGGATCGGAAGGTTTTGTCAGGAGATCTTTGGTTAATGCATGGAATACCTCTGCATACAGCAGAAATTCATGCCACGAGATCAACTTCATCACGTTCAGGAGGAACCACATCTAATCTCATCATACTTTTATACTGATCCGGAACAGGTGCACCAGCTTGTACACATAGCTCCACCACAGCAGGGGCTTTACCATAATATCTCTTCAAATCATTACGCAGAGGAGGCCCATTCAAATCACGAACATGCCAGACATAATTGGGACCAACAAGATGATCAATAGTCGCTTCTTGCCATGCATGCAAACCATTTCGAGACTGGTGCTTCGATGCTTTGCACATTCTAACTTTATGTCCCTTAGGACCAACCTGAACCTCGGGACAATACCCGCACGTCCAGACACTGTACTTCTCCATGATCTTCTTCGCACCTCCTATCATTTCAAACCACGAATTCAATGTCATCGTACTCAACTCTATCAGGTTGATATATTCATCATTTAACTCCAAATTTGAGTCCCTCCTCAATACACCAACTTCAGAGTCGTTAACATTCTTTAAAAACAAGTTGCTTTCCATTTCATCTACTCCGACCACCGACTCGAAATCCACGATTCTGCCTTCAATAGAGTATACAGGCTTTGTTCTTCTCTTCGAAGGGTACTTCTCAACATCTACACCAGCTTGTATACAAAGCTCTAGAATTGCAGGGATTCGAGGGACACTATGACTATCATCATGAACAACCCTTGATTTCCCAACACGATCATAGAGATGGAAAGATTTGGGGAAAAATATCACATCACTTCCCCTTCCCTTCCTCCATACATGAGTTGCACTCCTTGAACCGCTTTTTGGACCGGTACAAGTACGGATTTCATGACCCACAGGTCCAATATGAACCTCATAACAAAATCTAACCCCCCCCCCAAAAAAAAACAAAAAAAATCAATCTAAACCCATTTTAATCGAAAAAGATGAGTTTTTTTTCTAGTTACCTGCATCTCTGAATTGGGATGAATTGGACGAGTTTGGACAAGCCGGCGAGGATGAGTTGACGAGCTCGGTAGACTCGGTGAGCGACGTCGACGAGTTCAGGAACCAACAACCCATTGGCTGGCGGATGTTCGAGTAATCGACAGGGTTGGGATTTTCTCAACTCTTTCTCTTGTTTAGCCCTTTCAATCAGTTCTTTCATGGGTGTCGGGTACGGTTTCCTTTGGGACTTGCCTGGCCGTGGCTTGGGCACGTCTGAGTACACAGGATCGCCATTATTGTCGGCGAGTGAAAGGAAATATTGGGTCTTTTCAGATGAGAAGGAAGAGGTTTGATTGAATCGACAATGGAGTTTGTTGAGCCGAGATATTTGTAATAACAAAGTCTTTCTCTGCATTTTCCCAGTGGGTTTGCCCTTTCAGAGTTGCTTATACAGATATTGAAATAATTTCAACAGTACGAGTAAGTTTTACTGTTTGTTTTTTCAGAAAATATAAAAGAGTAAATTACACTGTTCTTCACTAAACTATTATCTTTCTGTTATTTTCCTCACTAAACTTTCCATTTTTCTATTTTGATCACTAAATTTTAAAGATTGAATCATTTTGCTCACTCTGCCATTAACTTTTTAACGGCATTATAATATGGCACATGAATTAAAATGACATCATTTTGAAAAACTCAAATATACTCTAAAAAATATCGTTTTGGTGAGTGAAATATGAGATAGAGTAAAGTTTAATGACTCATGGTGTAATTTATCATGTTTCATTCTCTTCTCCATTTTTTCTCTGTCGGCCACCAAGTCATTTTTATTCTGACCACCGTCGACGGATGTAGATAGTGACTGTAAGATCCCAAATTTTATGAGTTGGTTTGTCTCGACCCCCTAAGTCTGAATCTGATGGTTGTTTCACTAGAAAATGTCCCAAAACCCATGAATTTGGATTGAAACGTTTCGTTGTCCTCACTTTTAATATTAAATTCATGGACTTTAGAGCAACTTCTGATAAAATGGAGGTCGGATTCAAACTCACGAAGTTTAGGCAAAGTAACCCATCCCATTTTGGGACCAAATGACCACCATTTACGACGGTCGACAATGGTAGGCTGTGACATATGTCCACCTTTTGTGTTTATTTTATTTTTAAATTATTTTATATTAAATAGTAATAAAAATACCACATCATCATCTATTAGAGAGAAAACGATGAGTGAGCAAAATGATTCAATTTGTAAAGTTCAGTGAGAAAAATAAAAAATGAAAGTTGGGTGGGAAAAATATGAGAGAGAGTATAGTCCAATAAGGAACGATATAATTTACCCAAAATAAAAAAGTTTTACTATTTGTAATAAGGATTAATATCAAAATAAGTGCTAAAACTATATCGTTTTTCCTGAATAGATACCTAAACTATTTTTTGATTTATCAAGGTGTCTAATGTTACAAAAGTTACCATTTTAGGTTTCCTGACCATCAACAACATTATTTTCCCCGTTAAATGACACGTGTCACAATCTGGTGTTCTAAAATTTATTTTTTAAAATATATTAAATATATTATTATATTTATAAGAAAACATATTTTCTCTTAAATTATAAAATAACCCAAAAATCTCCAAACTCTAACCTTAACCTATCGCCGCAACCTTTTCCAACCACCACCGCCAACTTAATCCCTGTCATCCTCCTAGTCATACGTCGTCGTAGTTGCCGCCGATTAGACACTTATTTAAGTATTAAGCCTTGCCATAACAAAGTCTCTTTTTATTATATGTAATTGAGTCAATAATCAAATCAACAACTAATAGGATTGATTCAAATGGTAAATAATTTGATATTACTTAAACAAAGTTTGAAGTTTTTGTGTAGCCAAAAAAACCTCGCATATAGACTCACCCCTAAAACTAGGTTAATCACGACAAAACCCCATTACCATAAGAGAGAAAAAATAAGCACATCAACATTTTTATTGCTCTGTAGAATGGGTTTGATAAAGTTTCTACTTTAGTTGTTTTCCTTTCATTTTTTATGTTTGGGATTTAGAAACTTTTGATTTTTTAATTTAATTAGTTGAAAACATTTTTTTTTCTTTTTCTAATCACCTGTATGTAAGCAAACACCGATCGAAAACCTAATACATAACCACCACCAAGTGCAATAATCACTTCCGTTTGGTTTGGGAAACATGTCATTATACGCCATCAGCTCAACAATCTCATTCATCGAAACTCCCACGGACTGCCCGCAAATAATAGCATTCCGGAGCATCGGAACTCCAAGTAGTCTGTTTTAGACACGGTACACTGAAGCAACAAGGATAAATGAACAATGAGGCAAAACAAGAACGAAGAAGAATGTATGTCATTACAAAAAATAAACAAGAGGTTCAAAATTCAACCACTTATAAATGTCGTCTCTTTCTTTCTCTTTGAGCAACAACAACCTAGACTGACAGCAGGACTGGTAGGATTCCGAAACCCCCGGGGACAAAAATGAAATCACATTAATTTTGGATACAAAACTGATACAAGAAGAAAGGATCCCTTAAGTCATGCGTACACCCAGAAACTTCCACACATCATGATACAGTTCAATCATACACTACGCAAAATGTGAATCCCCCATTAAATGGGCTATCAATACAAGAAAAAATTCGATAGAACGATAAAATTACCACTTAGTTTCGGTCATGCACAAAACTGCTTCTCTATAGCCAAAAAAGATCATCAAGCCACCCTTGTGTATAGAGCAGGGTAGATAAAGTTTTAGTACTCTGAAAGTTAGAACTGGATAAGCAGACTGCTCAATCAGATTCCTCCGAGGAACCCGAGTCTGCCCCACTGGAAAATTCCTCCCCATTAGCGAAAGTCGAACAACAACTTTGACGGTGTTTCTCCTCGGTGTCACTTGTTCGAGGTCTTCCTGGTCTTGTTCGAATATTACTACCCATAGGAAAGGGCTCCTAAATATGCAAACAAAGTAGGACTTGACTGAATAAACATCATTCTCCATTGCCAATATAATAAAAGGAAATGCTACAGAAGTAAAACTAAATTATAAATTCCAGGACACGACAAAAAAGACACGCATCGAGCTTGTTTATGCTGCCGTATAAAAAGATGACTTTACCTGATCACCAGCATTTGGGCCATCAGTATGAAAGAGAATAGGGCGGCAACATTTATCCTCATTCATCAAGCTTGAATTCTGGAAATGAGCAGTAAGAGCAGCCTTCCCTTGGATCCTAGCATAAGCAAGAGTCGCCACCTTTTCACTGTTGAACTCCCATTTTTTGCCATCAAAAGCCTAAAAAGAAATATTGATTCGACCCGATTAGCTTTAGTCTATGAAAATAATAGTTAAACACATAATTAGACATGCAGATGATAGTATCTGCATAAATAGCAGATAATAGTATAACATAGAATCCATGTATTAAACCTTATGAAAAAGAATTATCTGTTGTGGATCGATCATGTTGATGAATGCATAGCCCACATTGCAATTGTTCTGCAGATAACATTAATAAAATTTAGGGTTAGCAAGACATCAAACTACAAGTACACATCGAATGTCCAAGCAAGAATCAGTTTGTCATGGTTCGAAATCAGTTCGAAAACTTGCCTTGAAGTCAATTGGCAAATAGATAAAATCATAAGTTCCTCGACAGTGCTCGTCGATGACTGCCAGAAGCATCTTTGAAGTGTACCTGCAAAAATCACCATTTGGCTTCTTTTAAGGAGATAATCATATGAAAGAAGGGATGATGTGGAAAAGAAGAAAAGTTACTACAATAAATGACCTTACAGTTACTACAATAAATGACCTTACAATTGGATGCAATCTATAAATCGGAAGAATGAAAACAAGCACAGCACCAAATAAATTATTCAAGTGTACAAATACCTCTAAATTGCTTCAACTATATTACAAGATATGCCAAATTGAATGAATCTGAAACCATCTGTTAATTAGTCTCAAACATATACGACATGCAAAACTGGTGGTTCATCAACAATTACTATTTTGGGAACAATAACGAGATTTTAAAGGCAAAGTACTACTAATCATCATCAGGATGTCTATGGGTTTAAGGTCAATCATCAAGCACTATTATTTGAACATAAAAAGTTTCGACTATAAAAGGATACTATGAAACAAAATCATTTTAACAGGAAAGTGAACTCAGTACACAAGAAACTGAAAATAAAATCAACTGGAATCTGCAAGAGCAGCAGCTCACATACTTGTTGGGTATGTTTTTAATCATAAGTGTCGTTCTGCTGTCATGCCCACGTATTATGCGGTCAATGTCAAGTTCATATTGTTTCTTATCGGCATTACTAGAGTTCAGTTCATTTCTACGCTGTGGGAAGTTTCTAACACGTTCATTAGGAGAATCGAGAGATGTCGGCATTGAAATCATAAGGTTCCTGCCAGAGTAAAGGTGACACATCTGCTGCGGAGAGTGTACCCCGCCATTTTTCATCAAATCCATACCACCAACATGAGAAAAAATGTTGTGGGAAGGAATATTTGCGGGATGTGATGGTGAAGTTCCATGAAAACCCACACTTCCAAGAGATCCTAGGTGAAAACCTAAAGTGTCAGGAGACTCCCCGGCATAAGGATGCCGCCTGTCCCAGGGTGCAGAATTAGGAGGTGCTGAGCCAATATGGTGGTGTATAGGTGATCCTACATTGAACATTACAGGGGGAGCCCTAGGAAAAGCAGGCATGTGGGGAAGGCGACAAGCATGAAGGCCATTGACAAATGATGGTGAATTCGGCCAAACCATGGCACTTGATGGATGCTGCTGGTGTGAGTTGTTGGTCTTCCAAATTTAATTATTTCCGTTAACTCGCAGGCTTCCATTTCCAGATGACCCAAAAACTAGAGAGAATTTATTAGCAACAGAAAGCCAGAGAGAAAGGAAAAATAAGAGAGTTGAAGCCTGGAGCATAAGGAATAATCCAATTCAAGAATAGAAAGTGTAAAATTTACCTGAAACTTCTAACATAATGAATTGTAAACTTTATCAAAAATATTAGCATACTAAATGACGGAAGTTACCCATAGTCCCCCAACAGAAGGCAATAAAAATGCACGAAAACATGCTTCATTGATGTTGATATACAAATCAACTGAACTTACCCCCAGTATTAGGTTCAATCAGGTGTCCATTTGAACTTACTTTGCAAATGTCCCTATTGTCAAGTCCTTCGGCTATCATGGAACCGGCAGTACTAGCCATGTTTGTTATGGTGCTTGGAGAGCTGAGTGCAATACCATTGGTTATGTTGTCATGGTACTCGGGGAAGGAATGAGGATGGAAACTTGGTACTCCTTGGTTAGCATATTTCATTTCATCCGTAGAATGTTTGGGTTCCAGAGGACTTAATTTTTTTGCCT